GACGTGTGCTCTTCCGATCTCACGGATGCAAATGGAGATGCATCAAATTTAAACATTTTTTACTAAGTTTGCGAAGTTCCATGGCGTGAATTAAAAATCGCACGCAAATGAGATTTACAGCGTTCAAAAGTGTGAATCTTTAGCTTTAATTTGAGCACTCGATCAGGATTGTGCGATTTTTTTTCACCGAGTTATTCAACATTATGTACAACATAATGTACAGAGTGTCCAAAAAGTTCCGGGACATCTGAATATCATGGAAAATATAAGTTTTACAGTAAAGTGTTTCGAACAAAAGTTTTAAGGTTCAAAAAGATCTATTCACTGATTTTATTGATTTGACGTTGTCAGAGAAAAATCACTTTAAATTTTTTTAATGGAACTCCTATTTTTCATTGCATATCTTATAGCACACCTCAAGAACTTTCCAAAAGACTATAATAAAATGTTTTGCCATTAATCACATTTCAAATTATAAGGCTTGGAAGTTACAATACTATACCGACATTAGCATTATCCAAGATATTCAAATAATGGCTGAAACCTTTTGAATGTTGTTCAGGATAATGAGTTTGACAACATATGTCAAGGTCATGATCATTGAAGGTTGTTGCTCTTATTTTCATTTTTGAAAAAAAGAGAAACAGCTATTGTTTGGATACCTTGACTAATGCTAATACCAGTGTAGTACTGTAACTTTCAAGTCTTATAATTCGAAAAGCGATTAATGGAAAAATATTTTATTATAGTGTTTTGGAAAGCTCTCAAGATAAGCTACAAAAATATGCAATGAAAAATAAAGGGTTCCATAAAAAAATTTAAAGTGATCTTTCCCTAACCTTGACAACGCCACTCAATATCAATCCAATAAAATCAGTAAATAGATCTTTTTGAATCCTACGACTTTTGTTTCAAATACATTTTGTAAAACTTATATTTTCCATAATGTCCTGGAACTTTTTGGATACTGTATAAAAAAAGTTTTATTTAATTCGTAATACTACATATATCTTTGTTAAATTTGCAAAGAAGTACTACAAAACATGATTTTACATAAGAATAAATACAAACAAAAAAATCAAATGATTATAAAAGAATTGTGTTCAGTTTTACATAGATACTCAGCATAATAGAACAATGTATTTATTTTTAATAAAATTTATGTATTTTTGGTAATATTTTAAGATATATTCTTAATTAAAGTTCTTATTTACTCATCATTATCTCAGATAGTCAACAGTGAGAAAATTCACAAAAATTGGGATATTAATTAATTTTATAGTTAGTTATAGTAAAATTGAATTTTTTACTCTTAATTAGAAATAAATTATATATAATACATGTAGATCTATGACATATACATAACATTTGTTCCAATTCCTAATTAACATTGGAGCTTTTGGACAGTCTTAATAAAAAGTAAGATATTAATGATTAATTGCAGATAAATTAAAAATACCAATTATACGACTTTAAATGACAGAAAAAATAATAGAAGGCCTAATACCAAATTAATGCGAAAAGTGCAATAAAGGTATTGTAAAACCTGACAAAGTCTTTTTTGGTGAAATGCTACCTGAACGTTTCCAAGAACTTGCTGATCAAAATTTCGTACAAGCTGATCTTTTAATTATTATGGGATCAAAAGTTTGGTAATACAACATTTCGCATCGCTAATAGACAGGTTTATATAGATATATAAAATGACTTTACAATAGTTACCAAAAAAATATATGCAGTTATGAAAATATTTAACGAAAATAATTTCATTTTTAAGAATGCAAACCACATGACCTCGTAATCTTGTCACAGTGTCTCTCTGACTTACCCTGCCGCAGGGTGAGCAATTTTTAATTTTGGTTACCCAGTCACCGGGTAAAAGATATTATTTTTTACTTACCATGCCGCAGGGTAAGCAATTTTTAATTTTGGTTGCCCTGTCACGAAGTAAGAAATCTTATTTTTTACTTACCCTGCCGCAATGACAATGGCTGTGTACTTAGTTCCATTTCAAAAGTAGAAGCAATTGACGCTAGCGCATGGAGAGATCAAAACTTTTACCGGTGTCGCGAAAAACGCCGGGATGGCCGCTCTCACGCTTCTCTCTGCTAAATGTAAATGTTGGAGTGTAAGTAGTGCTAATAGTGCAATCGTGACCAATCACAATCGAGAAGTCCAAATGGCACAATGGCTGATGGATTCACTTCACATGTGTTCCAGTACCGGTACGCATGTTGGCTTTTGTAGGTTAAATTATCGTTTCTTATATATTCGTCTAATCGAGCGTTATTTTCAATTAGTATTGCGACTGATTGCGACCTAATTGTACATATAATCGCAATATGGTCGTCTTTACTTGCAACCATTGCGGTGAGCCGGTGAAAAAGCCGAAAGTGGCTGTACATTATCAACAGATGTGCCGGAATGCACCCTTCTTAACCTGCGTGGACTGCCTGAAGGATTTTCGGTGAGAAATTTTGATTGACAAATGAATAAATCTTTCTTCTCAATGTAGGGGCAATCTCATAGATTTTTCTGAAACATAAATTCCACGGATTTCGACATATGAGAGACCGAAGAAGTAGAAATATGTGAATCAGAATTTTCATATCTTATGTTTCAAAAGAATTTATGAGAATGCGCCTGCTAAGAGTCTATTAAATTTAATCAGATATCAATACGTACTAATAATTATAATTTGAATATTCTTAATTACTTCAAAGAGGTGACGAGTACGTTGCGCACAATAAATGCATAACCGAAGCTGAGAGGTATGGCGCAAAGGATTACGTTCCAAAGCCCGGCGCAAATAAGGGTGAGCGCAAGCAGCAAGAGTGGATTAACGTTGTTAACGATCTGCTGAACGGGACGGTGGATCTGTCCAGCGTGGAGCGGAACTTTCTGAATTCCTTGTCGAGATATGAGAATATACCGAGAAAGAAGACTAAATTTCTTAACTTTGTGCGCAACGCGATAGGCAATCGTGTAAATGCGACGGTTGTGGAGAGTGTTTGGAACAAAATGGAGAATGCGCACAAGCAGAGTCAACAAGTGGCTGTAAAGACTCCGGAGAAAGATGCTGCACAAAATCAGGAGCAGAATAAAGGTGAGGATTTTTCTTACAACTGATCTGTTTATTAAATGGAATCCTTTCATAATATGAAATATATAGGATATATCATGTCTTCTCTTATAATATCAGTTAAGTAGGAATTATTGTTTTATATATATATATATATATATATATATATGTATATATCTAAAGAGTCATATAGAATACAAAGTCAAATATTTGTTTTTCAATAGATGAGACATGTGCCCGAAATATGGATTCTAATAACTTGCTTGATAACCAAGATATCGCTGAGAATCAAAATAATGAAAATATATGCAAAGAAAATAATTCTGCGAGTCATCAAAATGGAAGTGACGAGGCGTGCGAGATGGCCAATGGTCACTTACACAAAAGGGAAAGTAAATCTAAAAAACGGCAATTGGAACCGACTAGTGTTCAGTTACCAGAGGAAGATCAAACAGCTGCAAAGATTAGAAAACAGTCTAATTCAGATACAAGTGATAATGGAAGCGACGTTGCTACGTTCCATTGGAAGAAGACCATCTTAGAGATTTTAAAAGCTAAGGGTGAAATGCCTTTAAGAAAACTACGAAATAAGGTTATGAAAAAATGTATATATTACGTTTTTAGCTTGAATGACAATACCTTCAAATTGACGGAATATGAAAAAGCTGTTGCAAAGTTTAACAAAACGGTAGAAAAGTTAAAAAAATCATCTGTAATATCTATTTTAGAAAATAAAGTAAAATTACTTTAATCAAATCTGTACATCATTTTTATAACAAAAAGTTTTATACAAAACAAAGAAACTACATGTTAAATATTAGATGAACATAAAATAATTTACTTAATTATAGCATTTTTATATTGCGAAATATAATTTGATTTTTTACTTGATGAATTTTCGTCCTTGAATTATTTATAATTATGTGTAGAAGGTAAAAGTTTGTAATAAATCTACTGTTATTTCATTTATTATATTAAAAAAGTCTACTTTTTTTATACAGTTTATGTCAAATTTATTCCTTACAATAAATACTTAATAGATAGCTGTTGGAAGATATGTGCTCTTATTACGCACATTGATATTTTTTGTTACTTACAATTAGAACATGAATTTTTTATAAGTGAAATTTAATATATACAATCTTAACTCTCTGATATATTGGTTTCTTAATTAGTGTGAATCGGATGGAAAGTCGTGCAAGAATTTTTCAGAATACCATGCGTGATCACTCATAGTCGCTAAAAGACCCTTTGTAAGTACTTTGGCATCATTAGCTCCGAAATGAATCGGTTGTTGATCATATAATTGTGTCACTGTTCCTCCCAAAGCACTACAAGGAACATAAGAAATAAGTGAAAAGTAAATACTACATAGTATTAAGACAAGATACTTAAATAGCAATACCTAAGAATTGCAGTGCCTGCACATATATCCCATTTCTTGATAGCAGTTGTATGAACGTACGCTGTCGCATTACCAGCAGCTACCTCCAAAAATTTGTATCCTAAAAACATGAAACCTTTATAAAATTCTTAACGACAAAAGCTGAAGGTATGAAAAAAATGCGAGGCTGAGTAACAAAAAATAATAATAACAAAGATCTTAAAACGATCAGAAAAATATGGATTATGTGTAAAATTTGTTTTCACTACAGGAATAAAATTGCGTTATTGAAAAAAAACTTCTCACCTGCACCAGCAGCAGAAATAATTTTAACGTTGTCGCCAAAGGCAATTTTAGATGAATTTTTTACTTGTCCAGCATGTGAGAGAGATACAATTAAGATAGGTGTTTTATTATCCTTTACCTGTTGAACAGAGATTAACTAAGTAATGTATTTTAAAATTATAATTTTCTTCGTTTACTTCCAATTCACACTTACCTTGGGCAAATTTTTCAAGTTTCTTGATACACCGTGGTTGCTCCATGTCCAGAATAGACTGTAATTCTGTTTTGTCTCAAACGGTTTATATATAACGCCAATAATTGGCTGTCCTTTGACAGCTATGCATACCATAGTAGATACATATTGCAGTAAATTTTCTAAAAATAAGTTAGAATAGCATTTAAAAACTGTCCAACTTTGTTTATAAGAAGCTACATCAAGCTAAAAATATAAAATGTCCCAAAACTACCTAGTCATAGAATCTAGTATTTTTCTAATTTATTCATCAAAAAAAGTTTTGTCTACTTTGAAAAAAAGGACTTGGTAGATCTGGTGAAGAAAACGGTTTTCCAATATTTTCAGATTAGTGTATGTCAAATTACTGCGTCTATACATTAAATTATTAATTTAGGTAATAAGCTTTACTCGCAACATCTTAATATTTCTGAGAATGATCATAATATGAATTTTATGCTATTATGGAACTGATGTGATTATCTGTATCATATTATGTCCAAAAATCTATTTTTATTGTTCGATTCTGAAAACAATTGGTGCATTTTCAATAATTGTAGCCATAAATGACCGTGAAAATATTAATCGTTTCCAAATTTCAATTGCATGTGACACACATACATTTTTCTCATTCTCATTTTGCTCATTCTCTACAATCTAATTTTTAGATAACTTTCCTATAAAATTTGTGACCAACTTTTTGATTGTTATATGAATTATGTTCAAACAAAAGTGCGCATTATTGGTCATGTTAAAAATAATTGTTCCTGCCATAAATAACCTAAAAAATAATTTTGTTAGAAGTATTGGAATATTATAATGGCAAAGATGCAAATTTTACCTGTAAACTCTTTGGTGGCGTCGAGAGGATCTATCCATATTGTAATATCATTAACATTTACAATATCGTCACTTATATCGTAACCTTCGATACTTTTAAGAGAATTCTTAATGTCTTGTACTGCAATCTTATCACAATCCTGCGACGTTTCTTCAGATATCACAGTAATCCCTGGGAATGCCTCCGTCAAGGAATGATACATGGCACAATGAGATCTATAATCCGCTGCTGTTACTGGATCATTTACGCCTTTAAGAGAGAGACAAAAGAAAAATCATTATATCTATGTTTTATGTCAAAATCTATCGAGTCAGAATTGTACAGCATAAAAGCGTAATGCGAAAAATAGAAACGTGACAGACTGTTGTATGTGATGTAAGTATCACATCACATACAATTATCAAATTACATGTCAATAGTTACCTTCCTTCGTCTGGCCTTTGCTCTCTATTTTGAATTTAATCTGATCGTGCACTGCCACCACTTCCAGTCCCCCAATCTCCGCCGCTCGTATCGCAGCGGCGAGGAGCCGCTTCATAGACACATCCTTGTCGTTCGCACGCCAATTCGTGCAGAGGTAGACGACGGTTAGAAGCACGAGCGCGCACAGAAGTAGCTTTTGCATACGCACGCTCATCCCGCCGTTTGCTGACGAATTAACGTGTGACTACTAATCGTTCGTGAAATGGTAAGATTTATAGAAATGTGACTTTGCGAACTTTCAGTGTGACCATAGGAAACCTGTAACAAAAAACACATGATATGATGCCTAATCTTTTACACACATATATATATATATATATATCGTTTATATATTTTGTGTGTGTGTGTGTGTGTGTGTATGTGTGTGTGTGTGTCGCGTGTCTATATATATATATATATATAAAACATATATATGTAATCACAGTAAAAATATAAAATCAATACTTGCTAAATAGATAAAATCAATGCTTACAAATTTGTACACACTTAAGTTCATACAATAACTTCATCAATAACATTAAATAAAGACAACACTTTCACAAAATACGCGCGACGCGGTTTGTTCATAACCTCATCTAATAAGTATTGCATGAGATTGTTCAAATACGAGATAATGTACAAGCATGATTTGCAATAATAAGTTTGACTTGAACATTATTGTCCTATGTAGATTTCTCTTCCCGCGGAAACGAGAAAAAGTGTCCGAAATACAACCGTTTAGTTAGTTCTTTTTTTACACATATCGATCAGTAAAAAAGATATATATCTATCTTCTGGCTATTTTTGAGCATACACCTTACACAGGAGATAAACAAGGAACAAAACTCCATCTGCTTTCGTTACACTTTTTACACTTTGTTTACATTTTTTTCTCTCTCTCCTTCTCTCTCAACCCGAAACTTTGATTCAAATTCAGAAAAACATGACAGCTAAAGCGATTAGGCCAACATCTAAAATCGTCTCTTAAAAACACGACATAATATAATCCACAAATGTCACATGTCCTGTTTGCACTTTTATTCTATTCTCTTTGTTATTTTAAATATAACATACATTTTTTATAGTAAAAAGATTGTTTATAGATAATTTACTGAATATCTACCATTATGTACAAATTCCATTTATTCACCGATACGATCCGTTTGACTCACGTAAAAATTCACAATTTTCAAAATTTCGCAGATTTTCCAAATGAAAATTATGTAGTGAGTTTTTGATCTCTCTCTCTCTCTCTCTCTACTTCTGAATCCGTTCTTCCCTCGACGCTTTTCCTATATGCTTTTTCAAAAGTGGCTTGTACACGACCCTCGAGAATTATTGTGAGATGAAAAGGAATAGACAAAGTACGTGCGTGTGTGTGTTATTGAAAATCGACCAAGCCGTGGCTATGGACACATGACAGACTCGGATAAGGGGAAGGATAATCATAGAGGCAGGTGGTGGGAGGGGAGATGGAGAGGGAGAGAGAGAGAGAGAGAAATGACAGCAGTAAATAGAATGGACTTACCGAGAAGGAAAAACAGCTATATGAGAGGAAGACTATCGATGCACCACGTGTCCGATCCCTCGTCTTTCTCTCTCGGCTATCACGCGCTTTCAAAACGTGCAATTGCGTCCTTGCATTCTGCTGGGACAGAAATCCATTATATTTATATATATGTATGTGCATGCGTGTGTGTGTGTGTGTTGTATGTGTGTGTGTGCGTGTATGCACATACACATATCTATTGTAAAGGGGTAGAATGTAGATTAAAGGGACATACCTTCTGCGCAACATGCGCGCGTCTTTCAAAGATGGATGCGGAAAGGGTGGCCGGAGAAGAGCATCCAGGATCGTCCCGATCGTCCAGGAGCTCTGTCGTAACCTCGTCGTGAGACTCGTCGAGCGATTCGAGGGAGGACGCGACGGAATCTCGGTGGTCAGAAATAGTCGGAAATGAAGCCATTAAGATTCAATCTCGCATCTCGAAACAAAACATTGTGTCTCATATCGTCCCGCGGAACAGACACGTGTGAATTACATATATATTCGTTATAATCCTGGCAAGATTCTCTTGATTGAGAGTCTACTTGTATCTCCGCGACGTCGCACAGTGGAGTTGAAATTCGTTGCCTTCGCAGACTACACCTTTCTGCAATGAGTTTGAATAAAACGTTCCTGTCAATAATTCTGTCAATATTACATTAGATAAAATGTTCAATCGGCTTGAAAAACGAGTATAAATAAAAGCAGGAGTAAATATACATACCTACATAAAATTAAATACACGTATAATTTTCTCTATATTTCGTATTTTTAATCAGGGCGCACATATATGTATACACATATTCTCTTGTATCTCGCGAAAATATTCACCTGTTCTCCTATACCCTTCAACTTATACCTATTGGACATAAAACAATTGCATATTAATTTAAACAATTAAAAATTAAATGAAATTTTTTTACGCGACAGTAGGTCGCTCTCGTATTATGCGTGATACACATTCCGTACACTGCACGTATATATAACGCTTAAGCAATTTCGACGTTTCGACGAAAACTCGAAGAGTCAAAAAATCGACAAGTGGCTCCTTTCTGCACGATGTCCAGCTACGACCAATTATGAATGACTCTTGAAATTCATATGTACGGTACGACGTATGCATTGTATACAATGAATACGCTTCTACAGCTGTAACGCGCGCGCGCGCGCGAATCTCCCTCTCTGCCTTCCTAACCTCACTCTCTCTTTCTGAAAACTGTCTCCCTCTCTCTTCTCCGGGTTCCCGCAGTTCCCGCTTAAAAATGAAAACGTCGGCCGTAAGAGGAGGAGGGAGAGAGAGAGAGGGGTGATATGAAGCTCCGGTGTCCAGCCACGCGAGCGCCTTCGTCAACTCCGGTTGGCGCGTGAAACTAGTGCACGGCAGTGTGCGGGCAAAACAAACGCGGAATGTTGACTTTTGTTTGTCGGCACTCGGCTCGGCAGTATCTCGCTGAAGCGCGGAGAAGAAACGAGAGCCTCAATCGGGTCGAGTGAGGAACGACCGGTTTCCCTTTTCCCGTTCCGGTGTTCCGGTGTCTGGCTGGAACGTTCGGCGTGTCCAGGGAGGAACTGTGCGACGTGCGTAGACCGTAAACACAAGGCGCGCTACCGTGTTGCGGACGGATCGCGCGAATCGGTTCGCGCATTTTGCGGCGCGCGAGAGAGAATTTGCCCGTTCTCTCTCTCCTCCCGCTCTCCGCCAACGGTGTCGCGGCCGGAGAGCGCAGTGAAGCTTTTCGGCGTGTGTCGGACATATTCACCCTTTCCCCCGGGCGCGAGGGCTCCACGGTGTCTCCAGGTCGAGGTGCACGGTCGAGGAAAATCGGCGCGAACGGAGTTCGAGGGAGGTGGACGAGAAAGAGGAGAGTCTCGCCGGTTCGCCCGCGCGACGTGAGATGTACGGTAATCGGTAATCGGGCTGTCGCCGACGTGGGAGACGTGGGAAAGGAAGGAGCAAACGGAGGACACGGACGCGACGAGATGGCCGCGATCACGAGCGCGACCTTCCCGAAGTTGCTCAAGGCGTTGCGGGATAACGGCAATGTCAAGGAGAAGCGCGAGGCTTTAACCTATATTGCCAGGTAAAGTATATCGCGAGCAACACCCTCGAGAGAGAGAAAAACGAGGATGGGGTGAGGGGGTAACCGCGACGGGATCCCCGCGTATCGACGACGTGGATGCTGCGATCAGGATCAACAGCCCCTTTGCGAGGCGACGATCATCCGGTTAATTGTAGAAATTAATTGTGGACGTTGGGCTTCGTTCGGCTCTCTTGCGCCTTCCGCGCGTGTCTCATTTCATCTCATGACGCTCCGTATTCGAGAGAAAAATTGCGACGAACCATGCGGTAAAGGATTTAAAAAAACGCTTAAAAAAGGATCTGTTGACAATTTTTTTTTAAGTTGTGCTTAACTGTTGCAGCTTGCAAATTATAGAGTAAATGTTAAGCGAACTTAAAATTGTAAAAAACTTTCGGTTTTTATTACCGCCGGCGTCACTGCAAATTTAAATACAAATCAACTTGGCAAGATCTGATGGATTCATACAATTTAGCATTTAGAAATATTAATGTGCATTATTTGATATGTATACAAGATCTGATGGGATTCATGCAATTCAGCATTGGATGATTGCAATGTGCAGTTTAGCTTTTAGAAATATTATTTGATATGTATACATCTGTGAAATGTTGAATAAAGAGATTGAATGATATTTGCATGTGTGTGTGGTAAAGAGAACATTTTCCCTGACGTTTTGCAATAAACACTCGACGTTTGCCTTATAGTCAAGCTAAAAAGTTAGAGGCCAGCGGTGTCATTAAAGAGGATCGATACAAGGATTTATGTAAGCTGGTCATTGAATTGTTCTCGAAGAACGATGGGATCTTCCAAATTGAGGCAATAGGGGCGTTCAATGCCATTATGCGAGAGTTCCGAGCGCATCCCTTAAATCTCTTTGAGTCAATGCTACAGACCGACATGAAGACAAGGTTTGTCTGGTTGAATTTGTCATAAAAATTCTGCATACTCTGTTGTGTGCAAAAATTTACCATCTCCTCTCTTGATTTTAGATTAAAGATATTTAAGCTGTTGGAGGTACTAGATGACAATAGCATTTCCACACTTACCAATGATGCGCAGGGTCTAAGTTTTTTTAAGAGCTGCTTGTATAATGTGCAGCCTCCTTTAATGGTATGGTTAATGCCGGCGACATGCGATAATTTGCAAACGTTGACGAAGATTGAACAGCAACCTCAGTCAGAGCAGTACAAGCTAGAGGAAGACCTGAACAATCATGCGATTGCTCTTTTGAGAAGATTGTACAGAATGGCTTCCATAACGTTTGATCAAAGCGTTCAGAAGGTATAAATCATAGAGCATAGTTGTGTCAATTGAACAATTTTTCAAGTTACACTCACAGAATTGAAAATATGTTTTCCTCTTTACTTTTGTTTTTCTGTTTAGTTTGACACGTTACTGATGGATAAGATCGTAATGTTGGCCTACATGGGCCACAAGCGCCAGCGTGGTTCTGCTTTGAAACTTTTGCAACAAGCTATTACGACTAACTCTCCATCTCATATTCGTAAAGATTATCCCAACTTATGGGCACAATACAAAACCAATTTACAATCGACGTATTACAAGCGCATGTTGGTGTTGGTAGCGGCGTGCGATGTGGATTGGACTACGCAGTGGAACATTACTATCCAGTTCCTCGGCACAGATCTTCATCGAGGTGCCAGTCTTATAAATAATTTGCTGAGTGTCGAGGAAAAGGCATTCAAATCTATCGATCCTCTTATACGCAGGTGAAACTGCAGCTCTGCAATTAAATTATAATTTCAATTATCAGTGCGACAAACTAACCGTTTTTTTTTGTTTGTTATATTGCAGACAAGCTTTCCTTTCGTGGAAATTGTTGATTGACAATTTTGCTTTAGATCATCAGGAACTTGCTACTGCCAGAAGAATAAAATTACTCTGTATTCCATTAAACGCGAAGAACAGTAAAACTGAATTAATTGCATTGACAAAGCTAGAAGTTTGGTGGCACTTAATTGTTAAATTATACAGAAATATCGGGAAATTTGTTACTCCCGTTGTCACACAATTTTTAAATTATTGCTTCGGACCGCTCGGGGATACACCACTGCTCTCTTCCAAATTTGACGTTGTTGCCTCACCAGGCAAAAGATTCTTTAAGACAAAAATGGTCGCTGTGGATGCCTTGTCTCAGTTACTTGTCGCAAAAGAAGATCTCGTTGCAGTTTGTTCTCCAATGCTAGAGGAAAGACTTCCTAATGCTATGTCGTTCGAAGTGTTTCGAGAATGTTCCAAATACATTATTCATAGCATAGCAGAGGCCCTACTCATTCTTGGTCAACTTACAGATAAAGAAATGAAAAATCGTTTTCAGCTTGGCAAAACATTGTGGACAAGCTTAATGATATATATACGAACTGTTAAACTGGAAACAAAGGTGCATATATATTTAATATATATTTAACAGTTCTGTTTTTATGACATAAAGTACATATAATTAAAAAAAAAGAAATTTTAACAATATTGCTTTATTGAATTTTGCAGGACCATCTGTATAGAGATGTGATACTAGTTGTTAATGAATTGGGAAACCATATAGATAAGGTTATGGTGAAAGATATGATATTTAATGTAATTTTGCCAGATGTTAACTGTATTATCGAGAAAACTGACTTTCATGATAATGCATTGCCAGAATTGGTATTAAAACTTTTTACGTCTCCGATACTCGACGAAATGCTGAAGTACATTTTGTGCGTATTTTAATTTAAATGTCGATATGTTTATATTTAATATTCTAATGCATTATGCGGCATTTATCATATATCTATATATTATAGGAATTATGACAGTAATGCAATTAAGTGCCTTCTGGAACGATGTGTCAGTCCAGAATTTACATATTCCTCAGGTGTGCTTGGGTTCTTAGAAACAATAATGAAACAGTTGAAATCAGTATATGATGCACGTAAAAATAAGTAAGTTTAACAAAGTTCAATGATATACAATATTGAAATGATGGACTTTCAGATTAAAAAATTGCAATATAAATTAAGGCTAATAAGAATCGGAAGCTGGTTTCAGTACAAAATATATATTAACGATCATTATATCAATGCATTACATAATATTAACGACAATACTAACGTCGTTAATATTAATTAATATTGTAATGCATTGATGTAATGATCGTTAATATATATTTTGAGCAATGAAACCTGCGACTCTCATTAGCCTAAATTTATATTGTAATTTGTTAATGATATATTCAATTGTTTAATTAACATATTAATAATTAATTAATAATGTGTTGTAGAGATAATAATGACTTAGCTTACATAGAATTATGGTCTGTAATAGCAGAAATATTGACAAAATATATAAGAAACACTGAAATCAATGAGGACGATAACTTTAAAGTTATGAAATCAGTTTTGTCATTTCCATTTCATATATGTCTAGAAGATCTTGAGCAGGTTTGTATAATTTAAGAAATAGGTTTTTTCTTTTATTGTGCATTTATTTGCTGCTACCTCGTTTTTTATATATATTAATAATTTTGCAGATAAAGAATCATGCAGCAGTGTGGAAAACTGTATATAAAGAAGTCGAATTGCATTCGGATCTGATGAATACAATGAAAGCAAATGAAATCTTACTGGATACTGCAAGCATGATGCGGAATTGTTTAAGTACAAACAAAAATTGTTGTACTTTCATTGTAAATTGCTTAGACGCTTTGTTGAATACCCTCGATTACGAATCCTTGTTAGGTATGTAGAATGAATGGTTATAATTTCATATAAAATACATTAATGTTCAGAACATGGTAAATATATATTATTACATAATTCGTGTTTCAGCTCAGGATGAAATTCCATCCATTATACAATTAATAGTAGATGTTGTGACACTTTCTGTCACCAATGTACAAAATGTTAATTCTGAAGCGGCTCTGAAAGCGTTGTCAGCTATGCTTATTACTATATACGGACATAGTACGCAGAGAGTAGTGTCATATCTGCATTATTCTAAATCAGTGATTGAACTTATACTTTCGTCGCCAACAACGGAACTTTTTAAAGAAGTATGATATCAATACTCTGTCACAAAGCATTTGTGATTTTTACATTATTAAGCTCTCTTCACACTCTTTATCTCTGGCAATTTGCTTGCAGGTTGCAAACACGTGGGAATACGTGGTCAGTATTTTTAAAGGGCTTAACAAAGAATTGGATCACAAACTTTTATCGTCATACAAAAAATCAATTACAATAGCCATCAATCATGCTAATTCTGATATAAGGTCTTTGACACAGAATATTTTTGAAATTAAAGATAGCTTGGACAGTAGTGCTAAATGCATTTTAGATGAAATAGAAATGCCAAAAGAGAAGTCCCATTCAAAGTCTAATAGCGTTACGAAGAAAAAGACAGAAACGGGACAGGCAAAAGAGGTGCGTATAGCCGGGAGTTTCTTGAATAGAAAGTCAACTATCACCCACACAAAATCGGTATTTAGTAAACCACCTGAGAAGAGTAATAAAAACACGTTTACGCTACCTGAACCTGATTCGCAAGTAAATAATTTATTTTATGTTTTACATATTTTTATTATTCATCTGGCCACAATATTTTTTTTACACATTTAAATTTGTTACAGGATTACGTGTACATAAAAACAAATCTGCAATTTGACGTCAATCGCTTGACTGAGCATCAAAAAGAAACTTTGAAGAAGAAAAGAGAAGACATTCCGGCATTGTATAATGATCTTTCTCAATCGTCCTCACAGAATTCTCAAAACTTACAACAATGGTTCGATATGAAAGCCAAACATATTAACGAGAGTGATAAAGCCAGCGATAAGAGAAGCGATCCTATAATACAGAAACCTGTTGATAACGATGCTAACAAGGAAAACGAGGTTACTGAACAAGTAGTGGAATTTTCTAATGCGATGGACAAGACAGTTGACACTATCCATAGTAACGAACCGGATGAAAATATGGAAAAAAATACTGTCGATGCTGTGACAAGTTCAATGAAGAATGATAAGAAAGACGAGTCGAACGAAAAGCAGGGTACAGCAAAGCAAACGAATTTGTCTTCTCCTGTAGCATCTACCAGTGGAAAAAGTACATCAAAAGTAAACGAAGAAACAGATGCTGCAATGACAATAGAACATGTTACGAGAAAGTTAGATTTCGAATCGCGGGATGAGTTCCCCGAAGATAAAACGCACGAACGACAATCATCTCCGTCGATGTTAGACAGTATTAAACGACGACGCAGTAGCATGACAAAATCGACTGCATTGTTAAAAGATGATGAAATTGCCGAGGCTCAAAAAGATCCAAGCGCAGCAAATGTACAAAGGACATTGAGGATGAAGATTACTCAGGAAAAACCTGGTACAAATAGTAAACAAAAGTCAGATGATGACACTGACGTTAAGGAAAATGTTAATGAAAATAAGAAAGGCTTTAAACGTAAGTATGTGTCGGAAAGTGATTCGGATGGAAGCGTTCGGATGGAACGTCGGAAACGAAAATTAATTAAGAACCTTAATGATGATGATGGTGGTGGTGAGACCTCGCGAAGCAGTGATTTTATTTTTTCAGACATAAACATGGAGAATGTGAGTCAACGTGTGAAAAATGAAATATCTCGTTTAAAAATCAATATGGTATTTGACTGTCCTGCAGTGAATCGCCGTCGTGTCAAGCATTCGGAGGAAGAAAGAGAAACAGCAGTACACGGATTAAGGAAGTACGATAGGATACCTGATAATAAGAATAAATCGAGATCCGTAGATGGAAAATATGTGGAAGGATCAAAGAGATCTCCAAAAGAGCAGGAGAAAAGTACGAAAGATGTACGAAGAAGACGAAGCAAACAAGAATCTAATAAAAATGACATTAATAAAGATACTAATAAAGACGTTAGTATAGACGTTAAAGACATTGATAAAGATGTTAATAAAGATAAAAATGTTAAAAAATCCAATGATACTGTTGATAAGGTACATGAATTAAAAAATGCTGGGACAGATATTACGAAGGTAGTTCCAACATCCAGTCCGGTACAGGATGTTAATAAAACTCAAGATGAAGGACTTGAAGATAATTCGAAATCTAACGCAGATGTAAGACTCACGGAACTTACTGAACCAAGCGAACTGAGTGAGGACGAAGTCGAGGATGTCGTCGAAAGTTCACAAGTTCCTAACGTCGGTTTAATGTTGGATAAAATATGTAGCGAGAAACAGTGTTTTATTAAGATTGATAAAATGGCTAATATCCACGCTGTTAAAACTTCTGATGCGATTGTTAATAAAAATTACGTACCTGAATCTATCCCCATGGATTGCGATGATAACGATGTACCTGCTCCATGTGAAGAATTAAAGGAAGCTAATTCTGACAATTCTGACTCTAATACAAATACGAAGGACGACGAAAACACAGATACCATAGACAAAGATTCGGTTCAGAAAACTGATAATTCTAATACAAAGAGTTTAGTGTCAGAAGGTCAGAAGACAATCGACAATTCGTCATCAATAATTAAACCTACGAGTGTAATTACATTCTCGCCAAGAAGCAATAACAAAGTATTTTCTAAGCCGAAACCTTTCACAGGACGTGCTGCTCACATGCTAGGTTTAGTCACGAATCAGGCGCGACTCGAGAATGACAGTCTGCCTGTTGTATTGGAGGAGGAACCGTCCGTAAAGAAATTAAAAACGAAGGACGCAGAGAACGAAATGTCGACGAATAAAAAGACATTAACAATTAAAGAAATAGATAAGCTAGGTGGGCCTTCCGGCAGTCGGCAAGAGAAGATTTTCAGCAACATGAGATCGACCGATTATTCCGCGTCTTCGTCGACGAGCGCGTTTACCACTTTGAAGAACGAAGGCGAGAAGCTTTCGTTTAAATTGAACAAGGGTGCATCAGACTACTCATCGACGGAAAGTTCAGTTGATAAAGAAAACGAAAGGAGTGCATCGCCATCGCGTGAAAAGGAGGATCTACCTATATTAGAGTGGTCGAGCGCTAATCCACCTTCGTTGACCGCATCACCGAGCGCTAGTATACTTAAACGTCATCGATCGAGCCTACCGGAACCAGATCTAGATATTTCAACAACTCCTAAGGTAATTTTCTGTACAATTATTATTATTATTATTATACTTTGTGTTTTTTAAGAACAGATCAAATGTTAAAAAGTTACTTTTATCTTTATTATATTACATCTTTATTTTGTTATATTTTATATGTACTCTTTAAAATCACAGATTTATTTAACGCAGACATTAAAATATACTTCGATATTTTTCCGTTACAGCGAAAGAGAGTGAGTTTTGCAGATCCACCGGTGTCAAAAGAGATGAGTTATGAGATCGCCACTGCGGAATCTCCGCAAAAGATTAAATATTCGGTGGCGCGCAGTCCCACGCCGAAGAAGGATACGCCGAACAAGTTCAGGCAAACCAAACTTAAACTTATACCATTTGACACAGAGAAAATAATAACCGAGGATAACGCTCAGGATGAAAATGACATGGAAGTTGCTGTGGAGGTTGAAAAAACGAACGAATCGCTGACAAAGATATCTGAAGCGTACGCAGAAATTCCGGATGATGAGCAAATGGCTGTCGTTTTCCTGGAAAGTGATAATATTCTTGAAACGAGTTCCTGCATGAAGATTGATCAATTGGAATTGGCGCGCGAAATTGAGATAACCACGAGTTCATTTGTCCCAGAAAATCAACAGTCCTTATCTTCTAAAGATTCCAATAACGTTTCGCCGATGGGCGTCGAAACGCAGACTTCCGAAACGCAGCAAGACATCTTTGACGGGATGGACGCAAAGACCAGTGCCACAGTGATCAAAACGAGTAATGACGTTATCAGGGAGACGGTCATTCAGAATAATTCGATAGATTCCATTAAACTGAATGTCACCGATGACTCTGTGATAGCGGCTTTGCCTACTGAAGATGACACTCCGACAAATATGGAGGACACTATAGACGTTCAGAACGTTACTGGATTAAATTCCACTGTAAACACAGACGAGATATTCTGTCAAAAGCCAATACGCAGCAGCACGCATGCGACAGAAAATTTGGCGGAACAGGATACTTTGTCGGTAACGGACTCCTTATTCGCGAGCTTGGCCTCGACGCAAGACATTCGAAACCAGGAGGCACCGAATAACGCACAGCTCGATCCCGAATTTTTGGATTCCACTGAGCCAATCTATCCAACGCTGTCGTCGTGCGTGGAGCCTATCGACAGTATCGTCGAACAGTTGACTTATCCTCTTTGGAAGCATAATCTAAGTATGTACTTCGCAAATAGAAATATGCGCACAATCGGCGATTTTGCTCAGCTGTCGGAGCGCGAAGTTAACAGAATGCCTGTGAAAGGTAAACCGAAGACTGAATTTGTGAAGAAGGTGTTGGAGCAAATTGAAAGCATGCTACAAACGAAGCGCGCCGACAAGAAGTCAAATGAGGTGGAGCAACTGCCTGCTGAGACAATGGACGAAGAGCCAGCTGTTCCAATCGCTACGGTGTCCGACTTCGAACCGGTATCCGCGACAATCGATAATGAATCCTTGACGTGCAGCACGCCACTTATCCGGCCCGCCGAAAATACCTCGGACGATCTGTTGAGAGAGGACACGCCTATAAAAGAATCTGATAAAACGGCATCGGTCACTAGTGACATGTCACTGGAATCCATGATTCCAGTTAATCCTGATTTGTCAACCTCAGACACGTCTAAGAAGGACGAACAAACAAGCGTAATTATGCCGACTGCTGAAAGTTCGAAGCATGAAACGTCTACGGATAACGTCGAACCCATGCCACTTCCTTTGTCGCTCTCTGAAAGCATGTATGTAATCTTTTACATTCTTATTTTATAAATAAGATATTCGCATTTTATTATAGTGGACAATTTAAATATAAAATATAAAAAAAAAATTTTTTTTTAGTGTAACTACGAGCCAAGCAGCATTATCTTCAAGCACTAACTTGGACGAATCAAAAGGTCCTGTCGGATCTTCGAGTGTATATGACGAACTTCTTATCACGCACTCTTCCGTTGGTACCAATACCGATGAGAGCGTTACGCCGACTGTTCAAACCAAGTCTGTTGCGTCTCAAATGTCGCTTGCGGAACTGCTGGATGAAATCGACTTGAATCAGGTGATGGAAAGCGCAGTTAGAAGATGCAGTGCCGAAGCAATCCTTCTGCAATACAAGGTAAATTTTATTTCTCGCACACCTATATTATACCGATTATGTTTATCAAGTAAATGAAAGATTAATTTTCAGGTAAAGATGGCACATTTGAAGGAGGGAGAATTGCTGCGGGAAACGATCAGACTGCTCGGCTTGGACAAGCAGAGTGTCAACGATGCGTCATTAAAGGCTGCTTGCCGCGCGTGCGGCGTTAACAAGGTCCTCCTTAGATTGCCTGACATTTTCAGCTATGACAAACAGTTCTTCGACAAGGTGCTCAAAGTATACAGCAAGAAGCTTAATACAGGCGATATTTTGTGCAACTTGAACTTTTCTCAATTGAAAAACGCGATCTGTCACGAATGCACGTCGTCCCAAATCGTCGAGATGCTGTCGGAGAAGCTGAAGCAGGAGGGACCAGCAGGAGTCAAGCAACCTCTGCCGGAAGTGACGAGTATAAGTGCTTTGTTAAAAAAATTGCCGATGGACGTGCTCATCGGTACTACTGTAGCGAACGAGGAACTTATTCCGGCGTCAGTAGTTTTGGACATCGCTTTGCAGAACAACAGCTCGGGGGATATAGCACAAGCGTTAAAGCAATCCCCCGTCATGTATAGGCGCGTCTTAGACAAACTGTGGTCGTCCCAATTCACGGTCGCGCATATCGAGCATGACGACGTATCCAAAGAAAGCCTGCTCAATATTTTTAAGAGCGTAAGCTCTAAATTGACTGCGCAAGAACTGCTAAACGCATACCACGAGGCTATGACGAACAAACTTACCAATATGAACAACGTGAAGGATGTTGGAGACGAGAAAAAATAAATCGCGACAGATATTTCAGTTTCAGTGTCAGTATCAAATAATATGACTGATGTTTGAAGTATTGATGCGTCTTGTCCAGAAACTGGTTTTTTTTACATATCTCATTCATTTCCGTCTCATCATCTAATTGGTTTTTATTTGCATTAATGCAAATCATATAATTCTTCTTTGTTATTTCTATTTTGTATCTTGTTACCATTGCTAATTTTACCTGCAAATATATTCATTGCTTTTATTATATTATGCATATTTTTAGCATGACATATATTTGTACTTGTGACATATATTGTAATTGTAACATACATATACATTAGAGATTTCATTAACTCTCGCAGTATCAAATCATTTTTTTATTTACGTATAATGTTCATATCTCAGAAGGGGAGATATTTTGCGCTCATCAAGCAAAACTGATATTTTCTAATAAAAATCATTTGATAGAAAAAAGATAAAAAAGATTAAGTAAATTTCTAAAATTAGAAAAATTTACTTATCTTGAATGCAAAAAATGTCAATATTAATAAATTGTTATTATATTAATGTTTAATAATAATTAATAGTTAATAATATATTTTGTAACTTTGTATACATTATTAATATTGTTATTGTTTATTGATCTCTTTTCATTTGCAAATGATTATATCTTATATATCTTTATATTGACTGTTTTATTGATTTTTCTATTTTTTTACTCTTTCAGATTGCACAAGTGGTATTTTTCTTTAAAAAAGAAACGACTGATTCTCAAGTGGCATGTCTTTAAAATATATTTAGTTACATTATTTCATGAAAGATAAATTTTTTCAGAATTTTAAATAATAAAAACGTTATATAGGCCGTACAACCGGTGGTGAGCATAAGAACATAAGATCTCCATTGGTAATGCGAGAGTTATAAGAATAATTATTTTTTGATTGCCATAACTGCAGTATAACTTATATACATATATATATATATATATATATATTTGCATATTGAAAGATCTTTCGTTACTTTTAGTTAGATAAAAAAAAAGAGAGATCTACTTGAAGTAAACAGAAGTAAATATAAAAAGCAAGACTTAGGTCATTTTTTCTATATTTTTGTTTTACACTCACTTGTGTCAGTACAATAATACGTCCTTTAATTTATGGAAATTGATAAATAGATTCGATTCGTTTTTTAATTACTCAGTTACAGTTACAGTTAATTCGCTAAAATTATCCATTATATAAATTAGCCATTATCATCTTAAATGATGAATGGTAACGCATTGTTCCTAAATGAATGTAGTGATTGCCATTCTTACAAGTAAGTATTCTCTAAGACCAAATGCATAATTACCAACAATTATTTATTTTTAGACTTTAGAAATTTTCTTGTCTGAATTATGAAATATGTGACATAAAATTTATACAAGGTATCCTTTTTTATCGTTATTATACCATATATTTTGTATATGTCGTAGGGAAAAAGTTATTTGTTTTAAAGGAGTAAATCTTGTGATTGTTAAAAAAAAAATTCATAATTATCAGCAATGAAAGGGACATCCTATATGATATACTATACATACGGACGCTTTATTTAACGTATTTCCTTGCTGCATTAAGGTAATTTACATTTATATTTGCATTAAATTATTCTTGATTGATATGATTTATATTTTCATATATAATTGTCGATGAGATGAACAAATTTATTTGTAAAGAAAAATAATTGTTTGTTGTAACGAAATAATGCCTTTCCGTGAGGTTGAATTCAACACGCTTACTCAGACTCAAATACTTTAATGGCTATAAGCGACGACCAGTTAATCAATTTTTAAGGCTAAGTATATATCATTGTAAATATACATGTATGTATATCATTCACATTGATGGACGATCAATATATTCACTGATTAATACGCTTCTTGTGTGCATCGTTCTTATTACACCTGATCCGTACGAATGCTTGTCTACTTGTACGATTCAGGCTGAAAAATTAGTAGATTCAAATGTAAAAAATTCGGCAAACATTGAAGAAATTTGTCGATAATTAATGAAGTGAAATATATTGATTAATATTGTCTCGAGGACAAAATATGATATCCTGTAGTTGTAGCTAATGTCTGTGATTAAAACGCAGTTCTAATTATTAATTCTAATGATTGTATGATCCGTAAGTTAATATAAACAGCATTGAATGCATTCTGTAACTTCTTCGACCCTCTTTATTATGATAAATCACAGAAAATTTATGCGTATGGAATGTAAATGTGTTACAGTAATAAAATAATATTTTATACAAATTAAACTGGAAAAGATTTTTCTTTTCTAATTTTGCGTTTAATCCTACATATTTTGGATAAAAATATGCAAAGTGCACGAGAAAAAGTTATTTTACGAAATAGTATAAACACATAATTATCTAATTTAATTACACAATTTACATTCCAAATTTAAACAGTTTACTATTTGCTTCTTGTTTATTTCGCAGTATTTCGGAGTATCGATCTCGCGGTATTCGCGTGACAAATATACGGTCAATTACAGCAGAAATTCTAGATTCCCGAAAGACTTCGTATCAAAATACGATACCACGGACGTCATAAGACTATGTGATATCTCGGTTCTTATTGCAAGTCCCTGGATTCGCCACGTACGACAGCGTGTAATGAGAATTTCTATTCGTATTTTACTTTTTATTTCTGTCCCTCCTCGAGCGAATCCTTAAAGTGATATATTCCCACTTAAAGGTCGTATATTGGAGAATATTCTAATTATACACGTACAAAAATAGTTTGTCCAAATTTTTATATGCAGATTGGCTAATTAGTTTTCCGCCCGATATCGCAGAATATCGGAGAAAAGTATTTTATCGTTATTCATATTATTATATAGAGCACGAATTATCTGGAGAAAGAGAGAGAAAGAGAGAGAGAGAGAGAGAGGAAATAGGTATCTATGTAAAAAAAGTTTATTAAAAACCGATTTTTTTATGGCTATAATATCTCTGACGTCATTTCTAGGAAATCGAATATTTCTTTTCTCGAATTTTGCGATCTTTCCTCTCGTAATTATGTTACATTAATGGGACGTTAATTAATGTCATTATTGGATGTTATTTTTAATCCGAGTCGCAAAATAACTTTTAGGAAAAGATCGAGTAAAAATGGAATCTTAGAAGATCGCTAATTCCATAAATAACGGGAAAAGGTATTCTTATTATCGTCGCTCAAACAACGGTGAACGTTATATGGAGATAGAATCGAACTCGAGAAAAGCTGAGAGTATTAATAAAAGGCAATGCTATTTCAGAAAAGGTCAATTGCCTCGGTTCTTGCGAACCTCAATTCGCGCATCTAAAATTATTCCCCAATATTTTCTTATACTCGATTATAATAATAACTTTACTTAACAGTCGTGATCCTAATATTAAAATATATAAGCAAATTGTGTCAAATTAAATTAGTGTTTGCGAACCACAAGAAGGTACAATTCTGACGCTGCAGTTGTGATAATTACATATACCTAATTCTATTTAAGATTATTCTGTCGGGGACACTGTGGGGGTTGAACCTCAGATCGTATTGCACTCAACCCTCGAGTTCAAGTATAGTGCAAATCGCGAGTTAATATGGCTATTGTTACAGTAATGACAAGTGCACCGTATCTTTTTATATTATTCTTTTTTACAGTACATCTGGAAGAAGGAAGTAATAGCAACTTTCCAATAAAGAGTGCGACGCTACTTCGAATACATTGCGCAACGCCATGATCAAACACTCATCGAGGCGCAATAAATGCAGATATTAGCCGCGTTACAGTCTCGAAAAACTCGCCGTCTCGCTGCCGCGTTTCCCCTTTTTTTTCCCTTCCCTTGCGAAAAATTCGTAGAACGGCTTGTCTCGCCACCCGCTTCTGGGATCTGTACCGTGGGGGAAGCAAAGGCAACAGGAAAAAAAAAGAAAACGGAAAAAAGGACAAACCGTCACGTACGTATGTACGCCGTATGTGGGGGTGCGTTATGGGGCGAGGAGACCGCTCGGGGGTGGAGAACGCCTGCGCCGGCTGGAGTGCACCCTATATAAGAGGCAACACGTTCTGAAGAGCGATACTCACATTTGGAAGCCCGCGTCGCGACGGACAGGCTGATCGTCACCTCCGAAAAGATGATGGGATTCACCAGAAGTTACCTCGTGAGCCTGTTCCTCTACGTCTGCGTTGTCAACGAGATTCGTCAGCCTGCGGTGAGTGATTCCCACCGCGAATTTGTCTTTTCTTCTGCCCGCGAATAGTTCACCGCTGTGGCGCCGAACTTGAAAATATTCTTCATTTCATTTAAATAAACGGTTATTTAAATAAATGGAATAGACAATATAAAATAGTTCGTATACATTAGAGAGTTCCGCCAAAGTATCGATTGAGGATATTTGAAATTGCACGGAGACATATGCTTAGATTGGATCATTCTTTTTTGGCTATACAATTTTTAATATTTGAGTGATTTTTTCTTCAGATGAATATTTAATTAAGATAGTTTTTAATGTTTAACGCAAAGAGAGAGAGAGAGAGAGAATAATTTAAAGAAAAATGTTTGCAATATACTTATTTATAATTTATATACTTATTTTATAAATTAATTATATCAAATTTTAATTAAAGCGGAATTCACGTAAAGATATTTAATAAATAAATTTTTTAATAATAACGTTTTTCATTAGTTCCGCCTTTTAGAACTTACGTCAAAATTTTTGTTTATTCAATAATAAAATGAATTATGTGAATATTATTTTATCATTTCGATTCTTATAGCAGTAAAACATATAAATTCATATGTATTCATAGATAAATTTGATATGAATCATATTTGAAAATATATTTTGAATCATTATATATTACGTATATCTTATTTAGCGTTAATTTTTTAAAGCAACAATATATAATGTAATTGTTACTTTCAATTAAATTTTAAAATTTAATTAAATTAACGCGCATTTCATATTTTCTTTTGCTGGTCTGACCTTTCGGCCGAGTTTGAAATGATCTAGCGATTACTTTGAGCGAATAAACGTGTTTACAACGTACTTGCGAATAAAGGAATGTTTGGCAGGCACTTGGAGTATGCACTTGCAAAATTGCATCGCTTTATTGCGGTCTGTATCCAAGTTGTTGCGAGAAATTCCTTAACGATTAATTATATCACGACGAAAATTCGCGTGAGCGAAGATAAACATTCGCGGCACAATAAACATACTTGAGATACGCGTCTTTCTTAGAAAAGAAAAAATCTCTTGAAAAAAATTTAAAGAACATATATACGGAAAAAGAATTATGAGCGTGTGATTTATATATAATATGTGCATAAAATGTGCTCGTTTAACTGGAACACAGATAAAATCGTCTGTCGCTTAATTTTATTATTTATATAGAGACACGGGTTTATGGAATTCGTATAAAAAAATGGTCAATGTATTATTACCTCACGTTACTTACGTGACTCCGGAATCCAGATAAAATTTCTTATCTCTCAGCTTCTTAGGACGACAGCCGTAGAACTCTTTAGGATCAAAAAGACATAAATGGATAACGGTATGGCCTTTTCATGTATCGAGTGTATGGCGGTTTTAGAAAACATTTTCCACTTTTTTGCGACTCACGTTTCAACGTTATCTTATATCTTATTAGATTTTTAGACGCAGCCCAGCTGTATTGTTATATACCCGTCGTTTTTCGTGTACAAAGTTTAGGGAGCCGGTGGCGAGACAAGCGCGCGCGTATATCATATACAGCAGACGGTATGGCCGAAAAGGAAGATGCACAAGGAAGAGCGTACACGCCCATTTCTCTTTGTGCATCCAAAATATCGGGCAGACATCGAATTTGAAATCTCGAATAAGCCGAATTCTCCGCCGTTTCTCGCAGCGATAGTGCTTGCGCCAGAGATACTACTTGTCGGTATACGTTCTCGCTCGAATATAGAAAATTCAAGGATCCATCCTCGGAAGTGAGCTGGCATTCAGCACGACCGTTCTGCAGTTGATGCTTTTAAAGAGCTTTGCAAGTCCGACAAAGGGAATCAGTTGAACGAGCGGATTACACCTTCGAATGTACGTCGGCGTATATGTCGCCGTATAATTAAAATACACCTAAAAAATTACGGATCTATCGATCGCGGTTACAAAAAACGGATCTCGGTTATTGGTTCTCCGATCCCTCGTAATTGGTTTCAAAGCGCCAAAGCCATTTCGAAAACAAAGATGCTTTTCCATCCGGAGAGCTCTTTCCATACATTCGAGCGTATTGCTTTCGCTCGAATTCGTTTTATAATCGTCCGTGTATATAGTATTTTTATGAGTATTTGAAAGGTCGATATATAAATTAGATTTTTCGATATATAAATTAGATATTTAAATTAGATTTTTTTTAATCAACACGGAATTATATATGTATTGGTATAAAGAATCATTTTTATTGCATTGAATACCTATGCATGAAATACCTACAAAGTACTTATTCTACTTTATTTCATGATATTTGGCTTCTTTTAATGAGAAAGTACAATTTATTATAACGTGCTAACAACTTTGCGACAGATTCGATTTTATTTTGTCACATAGAGCATCAGATAAATCTTTCGAGATTAGTTTCTCAATCCTTTGTTAGCTATACTTGGCTATACTTGTATTCTAATTACAGCAGATTACGTGCGATCAAACGGATTCTATCATATTTTTCGCGTACAGAAAGAAAGAGAGAGAAAGCGGAAGCACTTGTATTCTTCTTTGATCACGCACTTTAGACGACACGTAACTACGGAAAACCGAGAGCTTCTTGAATAAAAAAATGTCCTCCCAGCCAGAAGTAGGTCAAAGGAAGTATTTACTGCCGGTTTCAATAAATGTCTTGATAGCAGAAGCATAGCTCCAATTTAACGAAGGAATTATAATTTGATACTTCAAGGAATTTGAAGACGATCTTATATGTTTTTGCTGTTTCACATTAAATGTTTTTATAATTAACTATTTAACTATTGCGATCTTAACGCCTCGAAATTGGATTTATTGATTTTTAGAATATCCTGTACACTGCTCCGTGTAGAGTTCCGTGTATTAATAATTCCCGAATGTACAGAGTAGGGACAATTTATTTCCGCGGCATATTGTTCGTCTATATTTTGCCAAAGAACAGAATAGCGAACCGCAAGACGAGATTCGACTGTTGAACCAGTCCTATATATGACTGAACTTTCTTAATATCATACTGTAAATTTGTATAGGGAGCCGGAGAGTCCCTGCTTACTGGAAATCCGCAACTTCGTAAGCCGCTCCCCAAGCTCCTTTTCATTTTCATTTCTAAAAGTAGGATCTTGCCTCTGTTTATCCTCTTTGCAAATATGTCCTCCGTCACGGTTTCCTTCGGTACCTTTTAGAAATTTACGTTTCATCTTATCGTTCATCTAGCATCAAAGTCTGTCTTAAACGACACATCTTATTCGAGTGGTATAAAAAGCCAAAAACAAACGTATTGAAACGTATTTTTTATATGTTATTTTTTATACGTTTTATATGTATCGTTGAAACGTATCGAGCTCGTTTAATTACAGGTATTAATTTTTACAGCTAGGTATTAAAAAAAAAGTATTTTTTTATTCGGCATCTGTAATTATATGGCTCTGTCGTGTATCAGTATTTACGACGTTAAATTAAACTGGCGTCGTTAAAAAGTAGCTGATCTTTTTTTGCTCGGTGAAATTATTGTACGAATTGTTTCTCTGACGAGCATTGATCGCAAAATTAAATTGCGTCCCCGCGTACGGAGGATAAAAAAGCGCTTTTACAAGGGGACTTTACTTCCCCATCCATTCTGTGACGACATCAATAGACGTTACGTCGCGAAAATGTCACGTAAGGAAGGGCACCCGGAGGTTTGCATCAATGGTAAAGATGCGGAGAATCAAACCTGTTGCCTTCTTTATTCAAGGCAGTGAGAGGAATGAGAAATGTCTTTAACGATATTCGTTGCGCAAAAGGGCGTTTTATTGATTTATCAAAGCACCGGCGCGCCGTGCTTCTCAAAGAGATTATTTCTCGATACTTCCGACGTGGAATTGAATTATTTCGCTAGGAATGACCATTTTTTTCTCGCGTCGCACCAGTTTATCATTAACACAAAGTATTCGCGAAACAAAATCTGTTTATCCTTTCCTCCTCCCCTGCGTGAGATATCACAACATAAACTGAGAATTAGAGGAAATAAAGGCCACAATTTGGCATTTTCCTTTAATTTCCTGTTTATTCTAAAATACGAGTCAATATTCGATTTTTACTTATCAGAACATATACAATATTTGCTTTGTAATAATCTCTTCCGTTGTATTTACCAATAAAATTTGCGGTGTGTTTGATTTGAAGGTATGCCTCATTTAAAATAGTTTATCGGAATTAAACGGAATAATTTGCTTTGACGAGAGAAGCGGCAAAGTCCGTCTCGCCAGAGACCGACTGACACTATACGAGTATAAATTTATGAGATATTACAAGATATCTCGAATGAGCAGACTACGGGCGAAACATGTATGATGTAGCTGCTCATATTGTAGTGCTTTAAATAGGCGGTGGGCGTTCTTAATCGACGAAAACAAAAGGCCAGCGGCTTTCACCGTGATGTTATATGCACTATAGAAATTGGTCCGAGTGAAGGTGTTTCGTATGTGCACACGGAGATGCGTCCGTGTGCAAATTACATTGTGAGGAGACGGCGCGATCTTCTTGAAAGGGTTCTCTTTTGGAAAGATGGGGAATTATTACTCGCAATAACTCGTTTATTATACGAAAAGAACAGTCCTTTTACACACAATTTCACTTTAAAGTTAAACATACTTGCTCCAAATAGAAGAGCCGATACTGTGAGCACTTATCGTGTAATATACGTCAAACATAAAAGTCAAAGCTCAAGCTACAAATGTTCTCATTTTTCTTTACTCTCTTATCGATTAGAAATTACTCATAAATGATTTGAGAAATTGCTCGATATTGTTACGACAAGAGCCTCAATAGTACTTCTTCATTACTTCTCCGCAGCGCACGCTAGATTAAGCACACAGAGTTAATCTTGATCCGTTCTCCCACTCTTGGAGAAGTTAAGAGCACTCGCTTTGTCTGGCATAATATGTCGGCGTAATATAATTAAAGCCGGTCGATTTGAAGTTCTGGTAACTTCGAAAGCTCCTCCGTCTTGTGTTTTGTTA